TGTGAACAAAATATTCAAAGGTTACTAGCGCAATTATGTTCTGTCAATTATTTTGGTTGCCTTTTATAGTCTTCTGCATTGGTGGTAAGATTAGCTCCAATGGGACGAGAGTGTAGATAAATCATAAGAGGCTTGACCATTGACCTAACACTTGTGGAATTTAATCAAACATCTTTTACCGCACTAACACATTATATTGTTGTTTCTTTCAGGCATATCCTAAGCAGTATTCTTGTTTCCTAGAAAGTTCTATTATCATTGTCTGTAATTCTGTTAGCTTGGACTATTAAATCAGTAAATCTTGGTCGATAAGGAATATGTATGTGAGTTTGTACGAATGGTTTTGGCTATTTCTGGATTGAAGGTCATGGAAACGAGGTCTTGGAACCTCGGCAGCTTTCGGCTGAGCGTCAAGCAATTTGCCAAGATGACAAAGAGAAACTAGAGTTTGGCCATATATTCTTAAATTTATTTTGAAAAATTTGATTTGGGTGAAGTTTGGTTTGAAGATGAAAATGTGTTTGGACATAAATTTTCAAAACATATTTCACTTTTTTTAAATAAAAAAAAACATGAAACATGACTTATACCTACAAGTTCTAAAAATTATCATAAATACCCAACGGTACCTTTATCAATAACATTTACTATATTATCACAAATCATAGTCCTGAGCATAAATAAATTTGGTATAAAATTATGATTTTTATAATGAACTACATACTACACTATCATATGACCAAGAAGACGAAGCAGCATTGTTACAAAATAATAAATGATGGGCTCTTTTATAAAATACAAAAGTTTGGGGCAATTTCTAAAAAATGTAATAGTGATATTTTGGGCCAAAATCAGCTCTTGAACTGGTTTTGGGTTTTGGAAATTTACCAAAATGTAAATAAAATCTATGGCCAAATATGTATTTGCCAAAAAAACCTAAATATATTTTGACAAAATCTATGGTCAAACGAGTCCTAAATGATCATGGATTTGAAGAAGTCTCGATTAGGTGATTTTGCTAAAGGTCAGAGTTACGCAGAGTTTATTTGCCACATATATCGGTTAAGATGAATTATTAGATTGAATTGGCTATTGCCTCCTTAAAATTAATGTTTGATCTGCTCAGATAGAAGATGTTGGGGTGTTATTATTCTGTATTCGAAAATATATTCAAAATAGTAGCAATAGAAAAAAAATCAGAAATGTAGAAGAAGACAAAATGAATCTGACCCCACTGAATTTACAGTATTTTATTAAAGAACTTAATCCCCTCATAGTAACAAAGTTTAAGATTATTTCCTCCCAGGATAGAACAGATAACCTCACTGGTGTAGCGGTACTTCAAACCCCAGTGACCAACGAACTCTAAAAATAGTAGTAAATCACACGTACTACTTTTTTTTTTCTGTTAAAACAATGCAGAATAAAGAAGGAGAAATCAGAATTTTTCGTAAGGAAAATATGAGGAAGAGTTCATGTATGGTTGGTTGTTTTGTAAAACGACCATTTATGCAAACCGGCAAATTCAAATTATAACGGAAAAATTAAAACAAAGAAAAATTGAATTATTGTTATGATAACGGTCTAATTTGGATTAATTAATATTGCATTAATATTAACACTTAAATTTGGTCCAAAAATTAATCAATCAATCATTTGACCGAATCTGAAGCTGAAGCCGAGCCGAGCGAGCGACGACGACGGCGCAAGGCTTGCCTTCTTCTTAACTCTTTAAGAGCTGGAAGAAAAGCAATTGTATATATACCCATCAAAAGTCTTTTCCTCCTCCAATGTGGGACAATGTCCCTTTGTCAAGGAGGGAAAGTCAAACTTTCATTTTCTCCTCCATTTCCCATTCACCCTCTTTTAAGTTCTAAGAAGGGCTTAAACCCAACAATCCCCTACATGAATGGGGAATGGCTATATCACGGAAATATGCATGAAAAACTGTGTGATTTACAAGCAAGGATTAATCGCATCTGGATAAGTAGGTTTTCCTTGGAACTTTCCGTAGTGAACTTTTGTCGGATATACTCGATCAATCGGTAGATTTGGTATCTTTGAACCGTCGAACTTTAGTGTATACCTGGACAATCATAAGTCATACAATCAACCCTTAACCGTCTTTGATTCTCATTGTTGTGTTCGTTTCAGCCATGAACACCGCCTGGTTTCATAAGTGCATAGAGAAATGGCCTTACAAAGTTCTCCTTGAAGCGGCTAACACTTCACACTTACATAGGTGATTCCTAAACGTGTCATCCCGTAGATACATTATTTATGGATCAAAATATTTTTGTTGACATGTTGAACCGTCATTAATGACTTTGTTTGATCTCCTTGAACCTAGATCTTGGGAGCTCTAATCTTTTAGGTAGAGTTACCGCCACAATGACTTGTCCTCGACCATAGTCCCATTCCCCTCGATGATCTTTAAACTACCTCTCTAGTTAGGCCTTTTGTAAGTGGATCCGACATATAGTCGCTTGACTTTACGTAGTCAATTGTGATGATCACCCTAGAGAGTAGCTGCCTAACGATTTTATGTCTTCGTCGTATATGAAGAGATTTACCGTTATACATAACGCTCTCAGCTCTTCCAAATTCTGCTTGACTATCGCAATATATGCATATTGATGCCAACGGTTTAGGCCAAAATAGAATATCTTCCAATAAAGTTCGGAGTCATTCAGCTTCTTCACCCGCTTTATCTAAGGCTATAAATTCAGCCTCCATTGTAGCGCGGGCAATACACATTTGTTTGGACAACTTCCAAGATACCGCTCCTCCACCAATAGTGAATACATATCCACTTGTGGACTTAGAATCAGTTGAACCGGTGATCCAATTTGCATCACAGTATCCCTCAATCACCGCAGAATAATTACTGTAGTATAAAGCAAAGTCTTGGGTATATTTTAAATATCCCAAAACTTATTTCATCCCCATCCAATGAGATTGACTTGGATTACTCGTGTACCGACTCAATTTACTTATAGCAAAAGCTATATCTGATCGAGTACAATTCATGATATACATTAAACATCCCAGCACACGAGCATAATCCAGTTGTGATATGCTTTGGCCTTTGTTCTTTGAAAGTACAAGATTCACGTCAATTGGAGTCTTAGCAACTTTAAAATCTAAGTACTTGAAATTTTCAAGTACTGTTTTTATGTAATGAGATTGCGACAAAGCCAGACCTTGAGATGTCTTATGGATCTTAATACCCATAATTAAATCAGTAACTTCCAAGTCTTTCATATCAAACTTGCTACTTAGCATACGCTTGGTCGCATTTATGTTGGTAATGTCATTACTCATTATCAGCATATCATCCACATATAAGCAAACAATGAGTATGTGATTTTCAACATTTTTAATGTACACAAATTTATCACATTCATTTATCTTAAAACCATTTGACAACATTGTTTGGTCAAATTTCGCATGCCATTGTTTGGGTATTTTTTTTAGTCCGTAAAGTGACTTAACAAGTCTACATACCTTCTTTTCTTTACCTGGAACTACAAACCCTTCAGGTTGTTTCATATAAATTTCTTCCTCCAAATCTCCATTTAAGAAGGTCGTTTTAATGTCCATTTGATGAATTTCAAGACCATATACCGCATCTAATGCCACTAATATTCGTATGGATGTAATTCTTGTAACTGGAGAGTATGTATCAAAATAGTCAATACCTTCTCGTTGTTTATACCCTTTGACCACAAGTTTTGCCTTATATTTGTCAATAGTTCCATCATCTTTCATTTTCCTCTTAAAAATCCATTTAGAACCCAATGGTTTATTGCCTGGAGGAAGATCAACCAATTCTCATGTATGGTTGTTCAGTATGGATTCTATTCATTTTGGACTACGTCTTTCCAAAATAATGATTCCGAAGAAGATATAGCTTCTTTAAATGTTCGAGGCTCATTTTCCAATAAGAAAGTCTCAAAATCTGGTCTAAATGAAGTAGACGTTCTTTGGCGTTTACTACGTCTTGGATCCTCCTGATTATACATACTTTATTTTATTTCTTCCCGAGGTCGTTTAGATCCTTCAGCAATCAACCCACATTCTTTTTATACGGATATATATTCTCGAAGAACTCAACATTATCTAACTCTATAATCGTATTATTATGAATATCAGAATTTTCTGATTTATGCACCAGAAATTGATATGCTTTACTATTGGTCGCATATCCTATGAAAACACAATCAATAATTTTTTGTCCTATCTTTACCCTTTTGGATTTAGAAACTTACACTTTTTTTCAAATACCCCCACACTTTGAAATAATTCAAGTTGGGCTTTCTTCCTTTCCACTTTTCATATAGAATGGATTGCGTTTTGCTATGGGGTACTCGATTTAGTATCCAGTTAGTCGTAAGAATGGCTTCCCCCCACAAGTTCTGTGGCAAACCAGAACTTATCAACAAAGCGTTCATCATTTCCTTTAATGATCGACTCTTTCTTTCCGTAATCTCATTGGATTGGGGCGTGTAAGGGGCCGTTGTTTGATGAATAATTCCATATTCTAAGCATATCTCTTCAAAAGGAGATTCGTATTCACCACTTCTATCACTTCTTATCATTTTGATTTTCTTGTTAAGTTGTGTTTCAATTTTATTTTTGTATTGCTTGAATGCATCTATTACTTCATCTTTACTATTAAGTAAGTAAACATAGCAATATCGAGTACTGTCATCAATAAAAGTTATGAAATACTACTTTCCACCGAGAGATGGTATTGACTTCATGTTGCAAATATTTGTATGAATTGAGTCTAAAGGATTTGAATTCCTTTCAACTGACTTATAAGGATGTTTAACATATTTAGATTCTACACATATTGATATTTTGATTTGTCGCATTCAAATTAATCATTTTTCGCAAGATTTTATAATTGACATGTCCCAAACGTATATGCGATAAATCATTTGACTCAAGTAAGTAAGAAGAAGCTGAAATTTTATTATTGTCAACAATCATTACATTCAGCTTAAAAGGGCTCTCAGTAAGGTAATATTTTTCTAAGTACATCTCGTTCTTACTTATTACAACTTTGTCTGAAACAAAAACACACTTAACCCAATTCTTGACGAGAAGTGAAATAGAAACTAAGTTCTTCCGTATTTTAGGAATATGACCTATGTTGTTCAAAGTCACCACCTTCCCAGAGGTCATCTTCAGAAATATCTTTCCATACCCTTCAATTTTGGCCGTTGCAGAAATTTTTCATAAAAATGGTCTTGTCGGGTCTAGCGGGGCATATGAAGCAAATGTTTCTCTAAAAGCACAAACATGGCGAGTGACACCAGAATCAATCCACCACTCCTTAGGATTTTCCACTAAGTTGCATTCAGACAACATAGCGCACAAATCATCAATATCATCATTTGTTTGAACCATATTTGCGTGACCATTTTCTTCTCTTTCTTTGGAGCACGACATTCTGCAGCTTTGTGTCCATCCTTTCCACAGTTGTGGCAATTTTCCTTGAATTTCTTCTTGATGTGATAGTTGTTTGGTCCAGAAGACTTCTTCCGCTTCTTCGGATTAATTGGAGCAGTTTCAACAATATTTGCTCCCATAATTGGTTAGTTCCCACGTATCTTTTTTTCTGCAGCTTTATTGTCCTCTTCGATCCTCAATCGAACGATGAGATCTTCGAGTTTCATCTCCATGCACTTGTGTTTCAAGTAGTTATTAAAGTCCCTCCATAAAAGGGGTAACTTCTCAATCATTGCTGCAACTTGAAACGCCTCATTGATGACCAAACCTTCAACAAAAAATTCATAATTGGTAACAAAATTAATACTTTCAACAAAAGCATTAATTTGGATTATACCTTCAGCAAGGATATCATGAATGATAACTTGCAGCTCTTGAACTTGGGTAATGACAGGCTTGCTGTCTACCATCTTATAGTCCAAATATTTGGCTGCAACGAACTTCTTCAAACCGGCATCCTCGGTTTTATACTTCTTTTCCAACGCCTACCATAGTTCTTTCGAAGTTTCTACATTACTATAGACGTTGTAAAGATCATCCTCCAGTCTGCTAAGAATGTAATTCTTGCATAAGAAATATGAGCGCTTCCATGCCTCAGTCACTAAAAAATGTTCATTCTCAGGAATTGATTCCGGCAGAACTGGAACGCCCTCTTTGATGAACTTCTATAGACTCCAAGTAGTCAAATAGAAGAACATCTTTTATTGCCACCGTTTGAACTCAATCCCGAAAAAAATTTCGGACTTTTTCGCCGGAGCCGGTGGTGGCACAGAATGACTGAAAGAAACAACATTGCTCGTAGAGCCAACCACGAGAGTTCATGTTTCTGTCATTTTTGCTTTCTGTTAATCACAAAACAGAAACAAAATTAATCAGCGGTGAAGTATTTAAAATCTTCAAATCGAATAACTTTAATGGAAACAGATTAAATACAACGGTAAAGATTTTATTTCTTCAAACCGAATACAAAAGGAGTAGAAAATCCGAAAATTTTAGTCTCCAAACTGAGAGTAGAAATCACTAGGATTTAGTATCTCACAAACAGAATATAAGATGAATACAGAAAAATAAATGAAGTTTCTTAAGCTTATTATTATTCTGTATTCGAAAATATATTCAAAACCAACAGCAATAAAAAAAAAATCAGAAATGTAGAAGAACAGAAAATGAATCCGAGCCCACTGAATTCACAGTGTTTCCTTAAGAAAATTAATCTCCTCTTAGTACCTCGAGATTTAGGATTATTTCCTCTCGGGATAGAACGGATAACCTCACTGGTGTAGCGGTACTTCAAACCCAGTGACCAATGAACTCAAAGAACAATAGTAAATCACACTTACTGCTTTCTTTTCTGAAGCCGAAGCCGAGCGAGCGATGGCGCGAGCCTTGCCTTCTTCTTAACTCTTTAAAAGCTAGAAGAAGAACAATTGTATATGTACCCATTAAAAGTCTTTTCCTTCTTCAATATGAGACAATGTCTCTTTGTCAAGAAGGGAAAGTCAAATTTTTATTTTTCCCTTCATTTCTCATTCACCATTTTTAAGCTCTAAGAGGGGCTTAAACCCAACAGGGGATGTAATTTATTTAATTATAGTTAGGATTGTGAAGAAACATTCAAATTTTTATTTTTTCCTTAATTTTCCATTCACCCTCTTTAAGCTCTAAGAGGGGCTTAAACCCAACGGGGGTGTAATTTATTTAATTATAGTTAGGATTGTGAAGAAACATTCATATTTAAGATCAAATTAGTTTCAACTGCTGGCCTCTTGGTTGTGTAAGCGGTTTCTTAACTGATTCTGCACATCTGTGATCTGTTTTTAATATTTGGTGTCAAAAAAATTTGGTATAAGCTTTGCCAAAAGGTGTCATGGTAGATGCCAATGGGGATATTCTGGGAATTGTTTTCCACCTAAAAAGAAGTAGGCATAGGATAAGATCCAGAAGAGCAGTTGGTAAACTTGTCCCTTTTTGGGGGATTATTTGATTTAAAATGTTTTGCTTATCAAAAGGTATAGTCTTAGTTCAGATCTCGTCGTAAACTCATTTCTGTCAAGTTCCTTAAAATATAGATGATGGAATATTTTAGCATGGGGTAATTGAATAGTTATCCTTTCCCAATCTTTTATGTGAATCTCTGAATGCATGTACTCTTCCTATCAATCTAACTTCTAAGGGTATTTCTTCTGTTTAGAACTGTGAACTAATGTATATAGTAAATAGGGTGAAGAATTGTGGGAGATTACTACTGCAATTGTCATGTACTTTTTGTTAAATGCATTAATAACGAGGCACTTCAAGATCAGTTTTTTGCCTCAGTTTGCTTTCGGTATATCTACATTTGGTGTATGGCTCTTGGAATGTATAGTGGTCTACAACCAACAGAAACAACAATGGCAAAAACAAAATCCATCGTGCTGAATTTTTTGTTAATATTTAATGGGAAAAAAGTTGTCACTACAGCAACAATTCTGTTTAATGGGAAAAAAATTGTCGCTACGTTGAGAATTGTTAAGTACTTAGTTGATGGTTTACCATTCATTTCCTTTCTACTTAAGAGTTTTCCTTTTTTATATGCAGAGGTTGTTTATGCTCATTTCTATTTAATTGTAAATGAATTAGGATTCAAATATATTAGAGAATCTGCTCTCTTCACTCAAATCAGTTAGTAGTTTCGATGTATTGGGGCGAGTGAGTAGGGTAGAGTGGGATCATAAGATTTAGGGCTTACATGTTACAAGATTTTTAATTTCTGAGCATAAACCAGTACCTGAAATATAATTCCAACATCCCGCTCCCTTCCAACGGAAGAGGGTATATATATGTTCCATTTATTAACATGCCTTGAATATTTTGAGATGCAGTAACTTGGAGTAGCTCTCTAACCAGATTATATCCACTCTACTTTTACTGTTTAGAAAATTTTTTAAAGATACAATCGTTGCAAAATAAGAACATTCAATTCTACATAACCTTGTGTTTTAGAAAACTGGAAACTTAATATAGTTGGTAAACCTCATGTTTGTAGATATACCGCATCAGTAGTGAAGTATAATAGCACGTACTACGATGAAAGATATAATTCTCCTTCTAAATCTGTTTGTAAGAATAGGGATTACGGCAAAGGTCCAAATATACCTTTGTACTTTCGAAAATGGTTTAAGAATACCCTCGTTATACTATTGGGTTATCTATACTCCTGCAGTCATACTTTGGATTCAAATATACCACTCATTTAAACGGAGGGACACGTGTCATCGTCCTGTTGGCCAATTCTAAATATCTCCTAATTAATTAAAAAGCCACACTATTTGGTACCCGAAAAGTAATTTTCTAAAGCAAACTTTTTTTGTAAAAACTGAAAAAAAAAACTGAAATTATTTTTACTAAAAACTGAAAAAAATAAAAATATTTTTTTTCCAATTTTTACAAAAAAACTACTTTAAAAAAAACTGAAAAATAATTTTCTAAAGTAATTAAAAACTGAAAAAAATAAAAATATTTTTTTTCCAATTTTTACAAAAAAACTACTTTAAAAAAAACTGAAAACTATTTTTCTAAAATAATATTTTTGTAAAAATTGAAAAAAAAAACTGAAAAATAATTTTCTAAAGTAATTAAAAACTGAAAAAAAACTGAATTGTTTTTAACTAAAAACTGAAAAAAAAAATTGTTTTAGAAAGATATTTTTCACTTTTTTTTAAAGTAGTTTTTTTGTAAAAACTGGGGGAAAAAATATTTTCATTTTTTTTAGTTTTTAGTAAAAATAATTTCAATTTTTTTCAATTTTTACAAAAAAAAATTACTTTAGAAAATTGCTTTTCGGATACTAAATAATGGGTCTTTTTAATTAATTAGTAGATATTTAGAATTGACCAACATGACGATGAGACGTGTCCCTCCGTTTAAATGAGGGGTATATTTGAACCCAAAGTATGACTGCAGGGGTATAGATAACCCAATAGTATAACGAAGGGTATTTTTAGATCATTTTCGAACATAGAGGGGTATATTTGGACCTTTGCCGCAGGGATTATAAAGTGTTTGACCTTACGCCTTAGGGGAGGTGCTGACAACAACTAAAATCATGGTGTAACCTCTTCGAATGACCAGCTCTTTTATTTTTTCCTTTTCCAATTTAGACAAAGTAAGTAATGGCAGTGTTAGATTTTGCTGCACAAGAGCTTCTGAGATGTACAAGATTTTAGCTATGACAGGCACTAATGAAAAATTTATCATTGCCACTTTGGCAGGACTGGCTATTCCTTTAGTTCCCACCTTGAGCTTTGCAGTTAGGGCGTTCATAAAAATCCGAAAAATCGAACCAAACCGAAAACCAAACTAAACCGACCAAAAAAATCGATATTTTTAGGTTTGGTTTGGTTTTAGTTTTAAATTTTAAAAATCGATCAAATTTGGTTTGGTTTTGANATATATATATATATATATAAAGTTTCTAAAATTTTATGGTACATATTAGTCATTTATATTTTTATTCTAGTTCTTTGCTATTATAATAATCTAATTCTTTGCCTTCTAGTTTGATTGGTAGTTTTTTTTTATTAAGTACAAGAATTTATTTCATATTAAAAATAATCGAATTTTAATTGAGTACTTAAGTTATTCATCACTATTTGAGTCAATTATCATCAATATATCTTGGTAAATGATAGATTTCTCAAAGAGCAATTGGTTTGATAGCGTTACGTTGAAAATGTACTCGCTGGAATATGCGTTTGGTAGTGTATGTCTCATATTTAAAAAAAAACGACAAATAACTGAAAAAACGAAAAACCGAATCGATAAAAAACCGACTTAATTGGTTTGGTTTGGTTCCAATATTTGAAAAACCGACTTACTTAATTTGATTTCTTTTTAGGGAAAAACCGACTCAAACCGAACCATAAACCCCCCTATTTGCAGTGTTTGGAACTTTTGATAACAATTCTAATGAATTTGGAATTCGCTGATGATATTGGCCAAACTTTGTTGTATGAACCGGGTGTAGCCATTGATCTATTCTAAGTCTGCTCCCTTTTTGATGTGGAAGTCCTAATTTCCAAGTTTAATGTATTTTATGAATACTCCAATTTGTTTGTATACTGATGGACTTCCTTGCTTTCTTTTGCTTTCTCCTGATTTTCAACTTCTGGTTAGTATTTTCATTTCCATTGCTCTCCTGTATTTCATGAAGATCCTCTCATTAGGACTTTATACCTCTGGTTAGTATTTTCAAGCTTTTGGTAGCTCTCTACACGTTAGAGTGCCCCATGTTTGTTGAGAGTGTATGGTGTTATCTCCTTCTATTTTATTAAACAATCTTCGCCTTTTGAGTTAGTTTTTGCGGTTGAAGATCCATTTTTAAACATGGTATTAGAACCAGACCAATACTCCAGGATACGCAACCTGGATGAGGGGTAGGGGGAGGGGGAGGGTGATACGAAGATTATAGAAGAAGAGTGTAAAGAGCAGTACCAGCTGCTTTGAAGATGGTACTAGTCATTAAGTTAGTTAATAGAATTAAGTATTCTAGTGAATACACTTTAGTCCCTTGGTAGTTATTTTTATTACTGTTCAATATTTGTAGAATAGTCCCTGAGAGTTGTTAGGATATTTTGTCCGGTAATGGGGTGTATAAGACCCTTTGTAATTATCTTAATTGGACAAGAAATGAAATCTATCTTAGCTAACCCCTAGCTTCTTCTTATTTTCTTCTTAGTTGTAGATCGATTCTCTCTTAGATTCCAATTGTCGTAACAGGGTATTAGAGCAAGCTCTTGGCTCTGTGGAATCCATGGCCGCCGAGATGTCTGAGGTGATTAATGTCCAGCACAAAATGTCGGTT